TGGATGGATAGATGGATGGATAGATGGATAGATGGATAGATGGATGGATAGATGGATGGATGGATGGATAGATGGATGGATAGATGGATGGATAGATGGATAGATGGATGGATGGATGGATGGATGGATAGAAAGATAAATAAACAAGTACTTTATTGATTTTTTTTATATACATGTGGAAAAACAAATTTCCAGTAACAAATATAATGCAGGATATTATTGTGCAAGAAATTGATTATTGAATATTAAATTGAATATAAATGTTTTTTAAGTGCACCATGGCATTGTAGGGCCATTTTAGATACAAATAAAAAATGAAATACAATTTTGGATGCGTGAGAAAGGGACACATTTTATTGTGCTTTATTCCCTTCTTCCTGCCCCTCCAGGGAGAACTTCCAGCGGCTGCAGCAGGACCTCGCCCACATGACCCTGGCCTGTCTGGAGCGGCGCTCTCGAGGGTCCATCAGGAGGAAGAGGCCGCTCACCAGTCAGAGCCGCGAGGAAGACGAGCAGACGGAGGAAGAGTCAGAACTCCCCGAGTACCTGCACCTGGCCACCGTGGACAACACACTCAGTACCTTCCTGTAGTACTGTAGAGAGTACACAGGGTACCTTCCTGTAGTACTGCAGAGAGTACACAGAGTACTTTCCTGTAGTACTGCATATAATACAGAGTACCTTCCTGCAGTACTGCAGATAATACAGAGTACCTTCCTGTAGTACTTCCTGTGATTTCCTGTAGTAATAATAATAATTCATTCTATTTAGAAGCATCTTTCAAAGCACCCAAGGACACCTTACAATTCATAAAATAGTACTGCAGAGAGTACACACCGAGTACTTTCCTGTAGTACTGTAGAGACAGTGGCGGTTCTAGAACATTTTACATGGGGTGGCAAAGGGGGGGCAAGAGGTCATGCCAGGGTGGCATGGGAGGGCGGACAGTAGGCCTACGTGGTATTTTATACTGTATATATAACCTATTTATTGTTAAATCATGCCCTAACACAAGTGTTCTTAATGCACAAGAGAAACAAGGTGTTCAGACACACAAACTAAAATATAGTGTAAAACAGCAGAAAATACTCATGATACCCTATAATTCTGTTTACTGTAAGCACAGTAAAAGTACTTAGTTATAATGAAGTACACAAATGACATCCCCCATCTCTCCAGAGAGCTAAAGGTGACCTGTGCAACACATTTCAATATGTGTCAATACTAAGAGCTGCTAGATTGTGCTGCTGTCATGGAACATGTATGGAGAATAAAAACATACCATGTGGTCCAGCTGGAGTCTCCTCTGCCTCCTGATCCCTGCCTCTGTCCCTCTTTCTGACACTTCATCTTTATTCCTCACATACATTTCTTCTTCTTCACTAATGTCTTCCTCCTGCTCTGACCCTCCTGGTGTCTTCAGTGAACTCTCTTTTCCTTTTCCTATCTGTTCATCCTGATCACTTCTCAGATGTCTTTTTGTTGTTGTTGACTCACTCCAGCTACTCTGGCCTGCAAGAGTCTACTTGTGAAAAGCACTCGCACAAATGCTTGTATAACTTTACACGTTAAGGCCTGCTAAGCAGGGTCGTTCCTCCCTATAGGCCGATCATGCAGACTGCGTGGGGCCTCATCTTGCGGAGGGGGCCTCAACTGAGCCCGAAAATGCGGCGCGCTTATTCGGCGCAATTAGTGTGGCGCGGCTCCACTAGCATGAGGGAGGGAACAGGCTGAGTGATGATGAACACTGTGCTTTGTTTCAGGAGGAAACTCGGTTAGTTCAATCAGGAGAGACGGTTTTGATGTAAGAACACATATTTATTGCCAGGAATACACAAATTAATGTAATGGAGTTTTGGCAATTAGGCCCCGTTGTGCAGGAGTATCATTCGGGAGGGGAGAACCGATCCGATGAAACCCCCCGGGGTCTAGACACTGGTGGTGGTGAATGGATAGTTGGGTTCGGTCTGAAGGGGAGGGGCTTAGCTTGACCCTGGTGGTGGTGAATGGATAGTTGGGTTCGGTCTGATGGGGAGGGGCTTATCTTGACCCTGGTGGTGGTGAATGGATAGTTGGGTTTGGTCTGAAGGGGAGGGGCTTAGCTTGACCCTGGTGGTGGTGAATGGATAGTTGGGTTCGGTCTGAAGGGGAGGGGCTTAGCTTGACCCTGGTGGTGGTGAATGGATGGTTGGGGTCGATCTGAAGGGGAGGGGCTTAGCTTGACCCTGGATTCAGAGGGACAGGAGGTGAAAAGGGGTGGAGGAGGGTTGCGTAGTCACCTGAAATGACAGCTGTCAGAGGGGAGAGCAGATTTAAAAGGGTTAGCGGAGCGCTGTGATAGGCTCTTGGGAATAGAGCGAAGTGATTGGTTAAGCTGGGGAGTAACGCCCCCGAACAGTTATTGAGAGGAGAGAGAGTAACATGTAAATAGTAAATGAATGAGTAAAGACGGTCTTCCTGGTTGAACTTGCGCTGAGTTTCATTTAGTCTCAGATAACTTCCACATGTTCTCCATCAGCTTCGTACGGTACCTTGGACATAATACAAGAAGAACATCCTGTTTTTGTTTTTGAAAGACAAACCTTTATTAATGATCTAAACATTTAATTTAATCACACATCCCATCAGTAAAGTCTTTTCAATGATTTCATGACCAGTTTCACTTTCTCCACACCATGAATGTGTTTCATCTCAGCTATTTCAAACAGAATCAGACATGATTTCCTTATTGATTATTATCATGATAAATTCACTTTCTATTTGGACAACAACAACAATTAGTCTGCAAAACAATAACATTTTATTTCCCAAGCAAAGACTAATCTATTTACAGGAGAATAATAAATGATGTACTTATTGATTATGACAGTAAGTAATATCATTTTAAATAAACATGTGATGATGAAATAAGTGTGATAGCCACTTTTAATCCGTCAAAAAGAATACATGTCTCTATTGTTTTAGAAAGTGGAATAAAATGTGTACAATAAAAGAAGCTGTGCTGCTTTCTCTCTGAAGACTCGTACAAGAGAAACAACAACAAGAATCAATAGAAATATCCAGCACATATTTAGAGCAAAGTTTACATATCAGTTCAGGTGAACAAGGATCCTCCTGAGCAGTGACAGCCTCCATGGCTAACCAGACACAGGAAGGAGCCGGAAGAAAGTCCAACATCTACAGAACAACTCGTGAGAAGATGTTGAAGCACATCCCATAATGTTTGATTGACAGCTGATCTCTGCAGTGAAGACATGGACAATCAGCTGTGATGGACACACGGTGAGTTTAAGAAGTAGAAGAGTTCCTCCAACGACTTCAGGCTATTTGAGTTTACAAAACTCAGCAGTGTCTCCATCATTATAATAAAGACAAAGTCCAGCATGCAGCGGCTGAGTGAATGTGGTCTGCACTCTGTGGAGGAGAGTCATGGTTTCAGAGACGCTGTAGAAGGACAGAACGCCTGCTCTAGGGGGTCCGGGGGGATGTGCCCCCGGGAAGATTTTTTTTTAAATATTGAAGTTAAAAGCATCAATCTGGTGCACTTTGAGAGCAACATTAAGAGATCTATGGATACATCTCTCAACACCCATTTGAAACAGAACTGTAATCAGATGTTCTTTTTCTTTATGGATATTTTACAGATCACTCCCCTTTCAAACTGTATTCTTGTTTTACTGCCATATAGTATTTCATAACTGTTTTTCCTTTATTCTCTTATTTTTTTTACGATAATGATCATATGAAGGTGTGCCGCGGAAATAATCTTTTGAATAATTTGTGACCAAACCGTTTGAGACACACTGAGATAACTTAGACTAAAGTTAACTATCTAAACACTCAGAGTCCTTTAGCTCACCTGAGCCTCTCAGTCTGAGAGGAGAGGACTCTCCTCCAGCTTGTTTTCGAACAAACAGCTCCGTATGTCCGTTAGTGCAGCTAGCTAACCAGATGCTAACAACACGGCCCCTGCTGGCACCGGTCCCTCTCTCTCCCTCTCTCTCACACACTAAATGCGCTATTGCCACACACACACAGAGCCAAGCTTGAATGACACAAGCACACTTTTATTTCCATGCAACTCTCTCATTGGTCTGGTGTCTTGCCTCTGTTGCATTCACTGAACACGGGAAATTACATTCCTGCCGTCCTCTCTAGTGTCATGATGAGGTTCACGTAAAGCACGGTTAATGTATTATATTATTGAGGTCGAATTGTCCGTGGCTACAGAAAAAACATTCGGGGCAGGCCAAAATATTATTTTACCAACAATGTGGAATTTATTGGCTACATATTACACAGATTATGCACAGCGGGAGCAGCAATAACCGTCAAATAATAATTCAGACAGGGGAGCTCCGCACCACCTGCCTGCCGCTAGGGGGTGCTGCAGCGCCCTCAGCACCCCCCTTCCCGCGCCCATTGTTGCCACCCTGGTAGATCCGCCCCTGTGCACAGAGTACACTCAGTACCTTCCTGTAGTACTGCAGAGAGCAGAGTATACTTCATTTGTTTCTATAAGCCACTCTAGATGCATTTTAAACAGACTTTTCCTGTGCGTTTCTTCCTTCGAGAGATTAGTTGTCATGTTTTGATGGTGTGTGATTGATCAATAAAGACGTCTTCACACATAGAAGACAAAGCATACAGGTTTTTGCTAGAGTCAAAACCTACGTAAGAAGCCACATGTGGTTTTGTCTTTGTGTTTCTGTTTGATAAACGTTAGAAAAGTGAACGCTTTATCTTTGAGTGATTCCTATACTACGTCTGAATTAATGGACACTTTAAGGAAATACATTCATACAATTGGCCAAACTGTACGCAGTTATCTGCTTTGTTTGTAAACATTTTAAACACTTTTAGCAACCGCATGCATGTGTACATTTTTCTCTCCCCCCTGTCTGAAACAATGTTGTTTATATATAGTTTAAATACAAAAACACAACCACAGCTCCACCTCTCAAAGCATTAGCAGAACATTTCAACCACTGACATCAGAGATCATTTAGGACGAAGCTTTTGCAAACTGTATCCCAATGTTTATTTAAATAACCAGTTTTGTTATTTCAGACTGTCACGGTTGTAACAAAAATGAGATTTACATATCTGTTTTTTAAACCAAAGGACAAAGATTTATTTTGTTGAGAATATTGACATTCATTAACATTAAATAATAATTTTTAAAAAACTGTCAGTTTGTTGAAAATACATGTTTTTCAGGTGAAATACAGTCAAATAAAATCAAAACACAGCCTTTTTTAAAAGCCTGTTACAATGCATGTGTCACGTTGCTTCATTTACAGACGCGAGGCTCTATGGACGGAAGAAACCTCCACAGCTGCCCGACAGATGTTTGCTTTTTTGAACAGAATAATAAAACAGAGCTGCAAATACTATGTGAAAACGCACTTTACTGTACAGCAGAACTAATTCAACACAGTGCACAAAGTATAAAATAAAGCGTGGATCCAGAAAACCAAAGAAGGTACCTGGACATGCGAAGGGAGGATTATAAATCTGACGGAAAGAATATTCGTTTCAACAGCATTCATGAGAGCTAAAACTAGCATATTTAACAAACCGGATATAGCTATAGTGTTAAAGGTGGGGTATGTAATTTATTTCAGAAACACTTGTTATATTCCATGGAATGCTCTTAACATCCCGATAGCAATGAATATATTAAATGCTTTGACAATAAATGCATTTTAAAAAATGCATCTGTGGAAGCCGTAGCGTCCATCTGTGCACAAACGTATCTCGTGCCCTCATTGGTCATGTGCGCGTTCGTGTGTGTTGGAGGAGGGGCTCTGGAAGGAAGTCTGAAGGAAGGGGCAGATTGTTTCCGGTTGTGTATTTTCAAATTCTAGCTCACTCGAGCTGGTTTCTCCAAAATTACCTACCCCACCTTTAACCATAGACTGAAAGTAGTAAAATCCAATGTCCCCCCCCCCTTTTAAAAAAATGTAACACCCCAAATTCCTATTCCTAAAGAAACAGTGAGAATAAATTAAGACAACCGAATGTAGAAAAAATAAAAAAGGCATTTTCTACAAGCCTTCTGCGTCGAAAATCTCTACTTACAAACATGCACTTGAAAAAATGTACACAACATATCACTCTTAAGCTCTCAGTGGGATAGTAAACTAACCATTTGTCGACTAACATATGAAAACAGCTACTTAAAACTGAAAGAAAAAGCATGTAGTAATAATAACAGATCGTTTTGACACGTCTGTCTGTTGACGCGTCAGTTTAGCTGTTTGAACTCAAGGCACCCAAAAATAACAAAGTGTTCTTCCTCCTGCTGAAATCATGATTGCCATAAGCATGATCACTATTCTAACAGGTACTCCATTAGTTTAATAAGGTAAAAAGATTCTGTGTCACACTTGAAATGGACGAGGCACTTCACCTCACACACACACAACTGAAGTGTTGTATTTGCAGGCTTCCAGATTTTAGTACAAAAGTGTGATCAAAAAAGTTGCCAACTCTTCATCTTAAGTCTCGATTGTCTCACTGTTACTGCGTAGTGTTTGTATGAATCAGCCTATGTGTGTTTGTGCTAGTCAGTGTTATACAGGAGCAAACCATAGAAAGAATCTTGAGAGGCAGGGATAATGTTATTTTCTTAAATCTGAGTGGAGCCAAAGACAGGTTTATTAAAAAAGCGTTTAAGGATAAGTATAGTGGTATTTATTTCTTATAGTCAGTAATTCCTTAAAAAGACCCAAATTAACTATGAATGTATCCACAAATATCTCTGCATTCTCTCAACTGGCCAGCAGAGGGAGGCTGTGGCTCAGTGGAGAGGTGATGGATTTCGAATCAGGGGATAGCAAGTTCGAGTCCCACTGCAGTCAGCATGTCGTTGTGTCCCTGAGACACTTCACCCCAAATTGTTCCTGTGGGGATTGTCCACAGTACTGAATGTATGTAAGTCGCTTTGGATAAAAGTGTCTAACAAATGACATGTAATGTAATTAAAAAAGCGTTTAAGGATAAGTATAGTGGTATTTATTTCTTATAGTCAGTAATTCCTTAAAAAGACCCAAATTAACTATGAATGTATCCACCAATATCTCTGCATTCTCCCAACTGGCCAGCAGAGGGCCATGGTTGCAATAAGAAGTCAGATTGTATGGAAGTCTATGAGAAAATTGCCATACATCTCAATTGATTTACTAAATTATGAAACATTTTTCTGAAGAACTAATAGTCTCAATCTTTAGATTCAAGTCTTTAAATGTATTATCTCATTTAGGGTAAAATAGGCAATAAAGAAGTGTATACTTTAGGGCGTGACAACCAGAAAGACACTCTTTAAGGAGTCTGCGGTTTATTATTTTCAGGTAATTAGACATGTTCTAGTTTGTTTTACAATCCAAAATGTAAATCCCAATGAATTGCGGATTCACCTCCCTAATATGTCCAAGAAAACATGATGGTGACAGTCAAACAACCAATGAGTCAAAGCACAGTGACTTCGCCCACTTATTTTTACAGTGTATTGTGTAAATACAGTTTGCAGCTGAAAATAAACCTCGACTTAATGGCCATGTTTCGCACTGGAACACACCGCGAAGACTTCAGCCGACGGCCAAGTTGCACGTATGAACTGCGCATGCGTGAGTGGCAATAACTCTCCTTACCAGCAGGCGGCGGTAGTGTGTAGTCGTCACTCAAAATAGGCAACAACCGGAAGACAGACTGCGTGATATAAACAAACAACAAATAGCGTTTGAGTTCCATTTTCCCTCTACAGCGAGAAGCTCACGGGGCTTTCCCGAACCTGAGTCGAGAGCTGGAGTTCAATGAAATCTCAGATTTGCCTTCTTAATAGTTTGTTTGGGTCCCTCACTTCCGTTTCGCTTCTCATGCACTGATTCGCTAAGCGAAATAAATCACTCTGATTGAGTGATTTATTTTGCTTTGTATTTATTGTGCGGATGTGTGTGTTTTTGTCAGTGTACAATGTTTTGGCTTAATATGTTATGCTTTTATACCATACCAGAATATGTGTGCATGTTTATCCATGTCAGTTTATAGGTTAATGTGTTCAGAGAGGATTAAAGTGGAGGATATAAATCAGACAATTGAGTATTAAGAACGTTTTGATTCAGGAGAAATGTGCATTGGTCTTTAAAGGTCCCCTATTATGCTGTTTTTCATCAATATATCACAGGTCTCAGATATATACAGAGCCTGTCTCTGATTGGCTGAAACACCAAACAGATCATTGCAGCATTACCCATAATCCCCTCTGTTTCAGCCCTGTTTCCAAAGTGCTGATTCTCTGTCTGTTACTTTAGATGAAAATAAGGAGCCCCTCCCCACGCCCCTCTGAGAGACATTTGGTTACAAAGAACTCAATGGTGCTCTAGGAGGAGATTCAGGTGATAAGGGGGGGGGGGGGGTTACCTTGGTTGCTGATTGGCTAATGGTTACACAAGCCAAAACATCGTTATGACATCATAAAGCGGCCAAAATCTGATCAGCTCAGAGGTTTTTATAGAAATGGATCAGGACAAAAAGTGAGGGGGTCATTTTTGGAGTTTGCATAATAGGTGACCTTTAAATAGAGAACTAAAGAATTAAGAACGAATGATAGCTGATAACGATCGGAGCACTTGGTCTGATTCAATTTCCGAAAAGCAGAAAATGAAATATTTACAACACATCACCTTCTATCTAAATGGATTTAGCGCTCAAAGCTCATTGAATCAAAGACAAAACGTTCTTCCTTGATAATTCATCAGCATTTTCAACGGGTGTCTGTTTTAAGAAGCTAAATGAATCCCTAAATGTGGGGGTCAACTCATCTCCACACTGACAGCATTTAAATAAATGGCACTCTCCGGTCTTAACGACATATAACGTTGGTCCTGGTTGAAATTGACTTGTGGAATAACGCCCTTAGGAAATGCTTTAATAATCTGATCCCTTCACACCATCTGCTTTTCCTCAGATCTGATCTTTGGTTAGGTTTTACTAAACTCCACGACACCACTGCCCTTGAGGTAACGTACGCAAACACATGATTATTTCTACTACTTAAATGAGTTTTGAAGATATTGCTGTGCTTCACGGTGAGCATTTGTGTTTTTAGTCTACCTGGCATTTTGTCGAATAAACTGATATCAATGCTACACACTTTTTTGTTTGTGTTGATGACGCGCAATAGGAATAGAAAATAATAATTTAAATATCTTGTACATTTCTACATCCGGGACCCATGGAGCTGGAAGAGCTGTGAAATATAAAGAAAAACAGACATTAGGAATTGTTTTTTAATATCTTATATATACACATGTTACTACATAAGCTATGCAATGATGTGGTGATGCTGATGGAGACAGAATGAGAGCAAATGACTTCACTGACATGCATAATGGATCAACAGAAACACACACACACACAGTCCTGTCTGAACACACAGAGGGACGTCTGACTGCTGCTCTGAAGGTCAGGGATATTTCATGTCACGGCATTGGTAATGAGAGCCAATAGAAACACAGCGTTGATCGATATCTGAGAAAGGTTGCGTCGGGACACTGTTTACACACACACACACACACACACACACACACACACACACACACACACACACACACACACACACACACACACACACACACTTAATAATAATAATAATAATGCTGCTTTTCCTTTCTTATTTAGCCATTAGGATTAATTAAATACACAATTATCTCTCAAAATGACATTTAAAGTGCTTAAAGGGACAGTTCACCCCATTTTCTGAAATATGTTTCCTCTCCCAGGGATATATCTACTGCTGATTTATCCTACACTCAATAACTCACACCAACACTTTATAGATTAACTATCTACACCTTTAATACTAATGTATATAGTATTTTATTTTATGTTGTAGTAGGTGTGGGCCTCATAGTGATAATGTATATTGTTTATTCTATAGATATACATATTTCTGCTGTTGATATGTAAATATGATTTTAAAGAGATGTATTTATGCTCCCTTCTAAAGCGTATAACTATGCACTTGGCTTGTTTTGCTATAGTGTATTTGCTACGAAAAATTATTTAGTTTGCACACAAATACATTTTCTCATGTGCGGTAGGCACTGTTTTTACTGGGCTTATCGTTCCTTCTTAATGCAGCGCCATGACACATCCAACACACACACACACACACACACACACACACACACACACACACACACACACACACACACACTAGAATCTACCATATCTACCCACTAAGCACATGTACCGTACAGTTCCTCACCCATTCCCGCCTCTCTTTGGAACAAAAACATCATTCTCCCTCATTCTCTAATCCACTTATTCGGTGTTGTTTCTCTCCCTCTTCCTCCTCCTCCTCCTCCGCCTCCTTCGCAGCCTCTTCCTCCACCTCCTCCTCCTCCTGCATCTCTGCCGGCTTCATTCAGCACGATGGAAAACACAAAACAAAAAAACAAACAAAAAACAAGACGACACGCTGATGAGTGTCAGTGAGCGGACAGTGAGAAGCGGAGAGGTTGATATAGAGAAAACATTTCTATAGATCCACAGGAGAGAGAGGATGAAGGTTGAGATGGCAGTGAACGTGTTTGTGAATGACATTTTAAAGCGGGTGACATTTGGAGCGTCGAGTGGAGGATCAAAGCACACACACTTCAATGAGAGGACTCACACACACCAAAGACACACACACACACACACACACACACACACACACACACACACACCAAAGACACACACACACACACACTCACACCAAAGACACACACACACACTCTATACAGCCTTGTAGCTGGATCCTATTTAGAGAAACACTACCCACATAAAATGATCTTTTCTATATCAATTATTCACCCCGTGTTACCTTGAATTCTTGAAAACATTGATTTTCTCATGTGTGTGAACAGTGAACAAAAAACCAAAAAATTGAAGAAATTCTTGATCATTTGAGGTAAAAAGGTGTCGCTTTTAACAACAGCTACTCTCATCTCTCCCAGAACACATGCGTTTAGCTCAAAGTTTACTATTTAAACACTTTTAACTTCCATAAGTGTGACTCTGTTAATGCAGGAGGGTTTTAAATAGTAAGAATAGTGAAAATACATGTGCTTAATGAGCGAGTGCAGCTGATTACATGAGACTTAGGCCTTGTCCTCACGTACCCTTTCGCTGCTTTTTCTATGCATAACATTACATTTTATTTAGCTAAAGCTTTTATCCAAAGCGACTTACAATAAGTGCAATCAACCACGAGGATACAAACTCAGAGCAGCAAGAACCCTGCAAGCCATGCGTACAGAAATGAGAAGATTTTTGTATAGATTCTTTGCGTTTCGGGATTTCGTCCATCCCGAAACGCCGTGTAAGGTCACTGAAAGTAAAATATGCTCAAGGGTGAAGTTATTCAGAAACTCAGAGTTGCCGTCTACTAATGTCAGAGTGTGTACCGTTAGGTCCTTTATGAGGCGTCACTAATTAGGCTAGCTAAAATACATTTTTCACACGTTACATCTTAAAGGGCACCTATCATATTATTTCTAGGCAATAGCATAGGCCTCAGATATATAAAAAACATGTCTATGAAGTGTTTTGCTCAAAATACCAAACAGATCACCCATTCTAGCCATGCCTCATATCCCTCTGTTTCACTTCCTGTTTCAAAAGTGCTGATTTGGGTATAAAGCTTTAACAAATAAATACTGCCGTGATGAAATGCCATATCATGGATTATCAAGGATTCTCTCTGAAACAGTCTGGAGCTCAAAGGCTTTCTCTCTTGCCGGTTATACCACAAGGTGAGTTCCTTTTTACTTCCTGCTTCTTCACACACATGCTCTCCAGTACAGGTTAGCTCTGAGTGTTAGCGATGCTAATGTAAACACCGACCATATTACGTCCAAAACAGTCGGGCATTGTTTCTGAGAGCAACGTTTCTGATTGGCCCGTGGGTCCACATTTCAGATATTACGTCATATCGGACGCAAATCTGGATCAGCTCCGTTGTTCCCCGTTTTTAGAGATTTGGGTACGGAGGAAAAGAGAGAGGGTTTTATTTTCTGACGCTGTGTGAGTTCCCTGACACACCGGGGACACATGGTTATGTATAAAAGACGTCAAAAAGTGCATTTTGCATGATAGGTCCCCTTTAAAATAACTATGTTGAGGAATTAAGGGAGGGTGTCAGAAAGCACTACGGTGGTAATTGCTAACATTTGAAAATCAGGCTAAGTTGTGTGAGGGTTTGTAAATGGATGTTTTGATAAAGTATTGCCTTAGTTTAAGTCTTATATCATCAAGACTTTTCTCAGTATTTTTTAAATCTTTGCTCGACATGCAGGCCTCATAGAAAAACAGCATTTTCTATAAGAATTCAAGACAAAACGGGGTGAGTTATTGTTACACAAACGTCATTTTGTAGGTTAAGTATTCCTTCAAACATACGTGTGTGTGTTCCTGAAAGATAAGGACTGAGCCTCACCTTTGTTTTGTGGCTCTGCTCCGTAGCGAGTCCCGACCCGGGAGTGTGAAGCTCTTTGGAGACGACACACAGGAACTCAGCCTGGTCCTCCGTCCCGTAGCTGTACGACGAGCCGATGTTCACCATCTGTGAAGAAGAGGGAGAGGAAGAGATGCAGAGGAGAGAGAGGGACAGACAGAGAGGCAGAGTGAGTGACAGCAAGCATCAGAAGCAACGGCAGAGAAAACTCAAAGCAAGAGGAAGGAAGAGAGAGATCTGAGACCAGGGGTGTCCGAACCACGACCAAATGCGGCCCTCATCAAATTCAAAAAGTATAATCAAATACGGCCCACAAATGGAACTTGTGCTTGTCTTATATTGTACTTCTTCAATATGAATGTAAACATATATCGCACAGTAGTACTCATGTGTTAATGAGACAATTTTTCAAATATATTCAGTCAATTAAAGTTGGAAACATTTTCTAACATATCTTAGTTGATAAGAAAAAAGCCCAATGACTTATTTACCTAACAAGCTTGAAATACACCCTTCCTATTTCTCCTTATTATAATCAATCTGATGCTTCTGTTTTAAGGGATGAGCTGCCAACACTCACAAGTATACTTTACCTACATTTGATTGATTTTGCTAACTTAATATGTAACTTGTTAGACGCTTTTATCCAAAGCAACTTACATACTCGATACTATGGGCAATCCCCACAGGAGCAAATTGGGGTGAAGTGTCCCAACGACATGACTGCAGTGGGGTTTGAACCTGTGCCCCCCCTGATCCAAACACCAACGCACTAGTCCACTGCGCCACACGTCTCCGAATACTGAACTTATGAGGCAGTATACCTCTAGTGAGTCGCCCAGCCATTCGTATATTTTTCTGTATGTGGCCCTCGGTAAAAAAAGTTTGGACACCCCTGATCTAGACTAAAGCCAGGAGAGACTTCTGGTGCTCATGCATGATGGAGGTGGAGGGGGCGGGGCTTAAGACTGCTGTTAGACACTCGACCTTGGACTCGACAAGAAGCATCTTTTACTTGTGGGGGAAACAGCACAAACACTGTGGGTCGGCTTCTGCAGGGAATCGTGGGCGAAATATGCGGTGCAGCATGCAGTGGGGCAAAGCAGTGGGAAAAGAGGGTCTACGTGGAAGTTTTAGGGGTAAAAAAAAAAGCTATAATTGGAGAGGCCTTCACCTTCAAATAGATGTTACCACTGCCAGACTCCTCCCTATTACAGAGACTCAAGAAATCAATATTACTGTGGCTATTTTTTGCTGCGTGTTCACACTGTGAGCAGCGAGTTGCTCACTTCAAACAGACTGTCGATAGGGAGAGTAAATGCTGTTCTGCAGCTTAAACGATTTTAGAGTGAAGCACTTCAAAATGTTAACTCTTAAAAGTAAGCTCACATTTATGTTTCTCAACTTTTCGATTATTCAGTCGAAAAAACCCTGAATCAATTCCCCAGAGCGAATGTCGACATATCGGAATTGCTTGTTTTCAGGGCTGCTTACTGTGTTTTTTAATAGTCATCGCAATGTCAATTTAAATACAGAAAACTGCTCTGCAACATGTAACTATCATTATGAATTTGTTGGTGCCTTTTGTGTTTTCTCTTTGGCATTTTAGCAATTAAAAAAAAAGTTCTTTATCATAATATTCTGTCAATGAAAGCCAAAAAAGTCAAAGTATAGAGGAAAGGATTATCAAGCTAACAGTTTTCAATATCTGTTGGTCAAACCAGTTCAAGCACTTTAGAACGTTTAAATGCGTCTACAAGAGAAGTATAACACTGACTGATTAGTCTGTGGTTTATTTAATAGTTACCTCACTATGTGAACACACGGTTCGTGTTACGAAAGGTTTCTGAGTAAGGGATAATGTGCAGCGAGGCGGTCATTATGGGGAGAAGAACACCCGACAGGCGGATCAGGAGCCCGACGCGAAGCGGCATGAAGGGTGTTCTCCATAATGACCAAGTCGCTGCACATTATCCCGCTTATTACACGGCCACATTCTCAACAAAGTAACAATATAACTCCCAATATTAATTTAAATGCTTTTATAGATTTAGAAAATAGTAGGCTATTATTTATTTAAAATGACATGCATCCGATAAGAAAAATAGTCCGTTGTGAACTAACGTAGCAACGACAAGAACTGCTTCGATAGCGTTTTTGCGGACCTCTTTAATTACAGATTTGAAAACATCGTTGCTTGCTTTAAAAGTAGCACAATTCATGATGTCAAACCTTGGGAAGTATCTAGATATCCCTGCCCTTATGCCAAAGGAACTGGCAACTGAATATGTGTCGCAGTTTGATGTCTATGTCTGGACCGCTGCGTCAAAAGGAGAGTTTCTGCCCCGTTACTTCTCCGCTGTTTTTAATCGACCGGACTTCTTTGTGCAGATGTGAGCGTCCTTAACAACGGTCAATAAGTCCTTGACAGCGGTCTGTCTGTACTGGATTAACAACGTGTCACGTGTTCTGAATTGACCAATCAGAATCGAGTATTCAACTAAGCCATGTAATAAATCTATCTATCGACTCCTAGAGGAGGATCTTTAAATTTGTCGGGACTATCGGTGGGAAAGACTTCAGCAAACATGGACTCCAACCTAAGTCCAGCCTAAAGTCAATTCATTAATCTACACTGTGCAAATTGGTGCAATCTGGGGGTCTTTGGTAGAGTGGAAAGGGGGCAAAAAAAGGGGGGTCAGGGTCAGGCCGAAGGGTCAAGTTTGAAGGTCAGCAGCAGCGTGAGTCCAACCCACAGTCCAGAGCAGTCCGGTGCGGGGCTTTCTGCAGGCGCGCACGCTGACCTGCTCAAACTTCCAGCCGTCCGACATGGTGGAGACCATCTGCGTGAGCTCCTCCTCCTGGCACTGCAACACGCGGTACACATGCTTGGGGGGCACCTGCTGCGGAGAGAGATGGGGGGGGGGGGGGGGGGGTTAAATAAGGCAGGAGCAGGGTCTCAATTAGTGTAATTATGTACTTCCTCTTTCTATTTAAAGGTCTCCTATTATACTGTTTTTCATCAATATATCACAGGTATCAGATATATCCAGAGCCTGTCTCTGATTGGCTGAAACACCAAACAGATCATTGCAGCATTACCCATAATCCCCTCTGTTTCAGCCCTGTTTCCAAAGTGCTGATTCTCTGTCTGTTACTTTAGATGAAAATAAGGAGCCCCTCCCCACGCCCCTCTGAGAGAGATTTGGTTACAAAGAACTCAATGGTGCTCTAGGAGGAGATTCAGGTGATAAGGGGGGGGGGGGTTACCTTGGTTGCTGATTGGCTAATGGTTACACAAGACAAAACATCGTTATAACATCATAAAGTGGCCAAAATCTGATCAGCTCATTTTCAGACAGGTTTTTATAGAAATGGATCAAAAAGAGAGAGAATCTTTGTTCCTGAAACTTTCAGAGTCTCTTTCCACAGAGGGGACACATGTTGATGTAGAAGAGACATGAAGAAGAGGGGACACATGTTGATGTAGAAGAGACATGAAGAAGAGGGGACACATGTTGATGTAGAAGAGACATGAAGAAGAGGGGACACATGTAGATGTAGAAGAGACATGAAGAAGAGGGGACATGTTGATGTAGAAGAGACATGAAGAAGAGGGGACATGTTGATGTAGAAGAGACATGAAGAAGAGGGGACACATGTTGATGTAGAAGAGACATGAAGAAGAGGGGACACATGTTGATGTAGAAGAGACATTGAAGAAGAGGGGACACATGTTGATGTAGAAGAGACATGAAGAAGAGGGGACACATGTTGATGTAGAAGAGACATGAAGAAGAGGGGACACATGTGGATGTAGAAGAGACATGAAGAAGAGGGGACACATGTTGATGTGGAAGAGTCATGAAGAAGAGGGGACACATGTTGATGTGGAAGAGACATGAAGAAGAGGGGACACATGTTGATGTAGAAGAGACATGGAGAAGAGGGGACACATGTTGATGTAGAAGAGACATGAAGAAGAGGGGACACATGTTGATGTAGAAGAGACATGAAGAAGAGGGGACACATGTTGATGTGGAAGAGTCATGAAGAAGAGGGGACACATGTTGATGTAGAAGAGACATGAAGAAGAGGGGACACATGTTGATGTAGAAGAGACATGAAGAAGAGGGGACACATGTTGATGTAGAAGAGACATGAAGAAGAGGGGACACATGTTGATGTAGAAGAGACATGAAGAAGAGGGGACACATGTAGATGTAGAAGAGACATGAAGAAGAGGGGACACATGTGGATGTAGAAGAGACATGAAGAAGAGGGGACACATGTGGATGTAGAAGAGACATGAAGAAGAGGGGACACATGTTGATGTGGAAGAGACATGAAGAAGAGGGGACACATGTTGATGTGGAAGAGTCATGAAGAAGAGGGGACACATGTTGATGTAGAAGAGACATGAAGAAGAGGGGACACATGTTGATGTAGAAGAGACATGAAGAAGAGGGGACACATGTAGATGTAGAAGAGACATGAAGAAGAGGGGACACATGTTGATGTAGAAGAGACATGAAGAAGAGGGGACACATGTGGATGTAGAAGAGACATGAAGAAGAGGGGACACATGTTGATGTGGAAGAGTCATGAAGAAGAGGGGACACATGTTGATGTAGAAGAGACATGAAGAAGAGGGGACACATGTTGATGTAGAAGAGACATGAAGAAGAGGGGACACATGTTGATGTAGAAGAGACATGAAGAAGAGGGGGACACATGTTGATGTAGAAGAGACATGAAGAAGAGGGGACACATGTTGATGTAGAAGAGACATGAAGAAGAGGGGACACATGTAGATGTAGAAGAGACATGAAGAAGAGGGGACACATGTTGATGTAGAAGAGACATGAAGAAGAGGGGACACATGTTGATGTAGAAGAGACATGAAGAAGAGGGGACACATGCTGATGAAGAAGAGACATGAAGAATATTTTAAATATATAAATATTATTTTGTTTTGTTTTATTGCACATTTTAACTTTAACTTTTTGAGTTCATTCTATATTATTTTATTGCACATTTTAGGTTAATATAAATATATATAATTGTATTGCATTTTATTGCATATTTTTAATTAACTTTTAATAATATTTATAGTAAATGTAATATTTTAATTAATATAAAAATTAAACAACTGTCACAAAAACGCGTTAACTCCCGAATAAATTCAATATTCTCATCCTAATCCAAATGTACGTATATGCCTTGATAAAACCTTTGCATTATGACAAAGCTAGCTACACAACCAGCCCTTTCTTCCATATTCCTGCAGCATATTCAACCCGAGGCGACCAGCCGCAGAGTCCATTGGAGCTGAATGCATGAATGATGGTGGGAGAGTTTGAGAGGCGAAGGGGTTATATAAGAGTGAGAGAAATCATCCTGAGAAGAGAAAAGAGTCTGATGTACAGCAGGGCTTCTGAACAGCTCAGCAGGGGGGGGGCACCAACAAAGAGACAACTACTGGAAGGCCATGCACTCAGAGCACCATAATGATGAGTGTGTGTGTGTGTGTGTGTGTGTGTGTGTGTGTGTGTGTGTGTCAGGATATCTGCAGGAATCCTGAAGTCAAATGTAATTCCTTTTAAGACCTTTTTTAAGACCCTTTCCATACATTTTAAGACCTCATCGCCACTTGGAATTCTAACCGGTTACCTTGGCGACACACTTTACCTCACATTGACTATATATAGTATTGATTGTTCTTCCTCCTTATCTTCCAACCATTTGGACGCAGACTTGCATTTCCCCATAACGATGTTGCTTAGCAACCGGCGTAAACGGACCTTCGCGCTATCAAGCAGTGAGCGCGCGATGTCCTGTTCAGATGACGTCAAACCCAACGGGATGCCATCAATAAACTACACGGAATCACACTACACACCTACGCAATGATTACATTCAGGCAGACTGTAGAACACAACCTCTTTGGACCATTTATATACTTATTGAAAACAAGCTACAAAATGTAATACCTTGGAAAATGCCCTTTAATACTTTTTAATAGCCTTAATTTTCGCTAAATGTACACATTGACAGGAGGTGTTTACCTGCGTGGACTTGGAGTCTCTCTCCAGGATCCTCTCCTTGATCAGTTTGATGAGCGGCGTGATGTTGTAAAACTCAGCCTCCTCCAGGACGCCTTCAAACAAAAACACAACAAGGATCAGCTCCAAACACTGAGGACAAGAGGCTGTAAATACTGAGGACAAGATGCTCTAAATACTGAGGACAAGATGCTCCAAACACTGAGGACAAGAGGCTCTAAATATTGAGGACAAGCGGCTCCAAACACTGAGGACAAGAGGCTCTAAATACTGAGGACAAGATGCTCTAAATACTGAGGACAAGATGCTCTAAATACTGAGGACAAGAGGCTTTAAATATTGAGGACAAGCGGCTCCAAACACTGAGGACAAGAGGCTCTAAATACTGAGGAAAAGATGCTCTAAATACTGAGGACAAGATGTTCTAAACACTGAGGACAAGAGGCTCTAAATATTGAGGACAAGCGGCTCCAAACACTGAGGACAAGATGTTCTAAATACTGAGGACAAGAGGCTCTAAACACTGAGGACAAGAGGCTCTAAATATTGAGGACAAGCGGCTCCAAACACTGAGGACAAGAGGCTCTAAATACTGAGGACAAGAGGCTCTAAATACTGAGGACAAGAGGCTCTAAATACTGAGGACAAGCGGCTCTAAATACTGAGGACAAGAGGCTCTAAATACTGAGGACAAGCGGCTCCAAACACTGAGGACAAGAGGCTCTAAATACTGAGGACAAGAGGCTCTAAATACTGAGGACAAGAGGCTCTAAATACTGAGGACAAGCGGCTCTAAATACTGAGGACAAGAGGCTCTAAATACTGAGGACAAGCGGCTCTAAACACTGAGGACAAGAGGCTCTAAATACTGAGGACAAGTGGCTCCAAATACTGAGGACAAGAGGCTCTAAATACTGAGGACAAGCGGCTCTAAACACTGAGGACAAGAGGCTCTAAATACTGAGGACAAGAGGCTCTAAATACTGAGGACAAGAGGCTCTAAATACTGAGGACAAGAGGCTCTAAATACTGAGGACAAGTGGCTCCAAATACTGAGGACAAGAGGCTCTAAATACTGAGGACAAGCGGCTCTAAATACTGAGGACAAGAGGCTCTAAACACTGAGGACAAGTGGCTCCAAATACTGAGGACAAGAGGCTCCAAATACTGAGGACAAGTGGCTCCAAATACTGAGGACAAGAGGCTCTAAATACTGAGGACAAGAGGCTCTAAACACTGAGGACAAGTGGCTCCAAATACTGAGGACAAGAGGCTCCAAATACTGAGGACAAGTGGCTCCAAATACTGAGGACAAGAGGCTCTAAACACTGAGGACAAGCGGCTCTAAATACTGAGGACAAGAGGCTCTAAATACTGAGGACAAGAGGCTCTAAATACTGAGGACAAGCGGCTCTAAATACTGAGGACAAGAGGCTCTAAACACTGAGGACAAGCGGCTCTAAATACTGAGGACAAGAGGCTCTAAATACTGAGGACAAGCGGCTCTAAATACTGAGGACAAGAGGCTCTAAATACTGAGGACAAGAGGCTCCAAATACTGAGGACAAGTGGCTCCAAATACTGAGGACAAGTGGCTCCAAATACTGAGGACAAGAGGCTCTAAATACTGAGGACAAGCGGCTCTAAATACTGAGGACAAGAGGCTCCAAATACTGAGGACAAGTGGCTCCAAATACTGAGGACAAGTGGCTCCAAATACTGAGGACAAGAGGCTCCAAATACTGAGGACAAGCGGCTCTAAATACTGAGGACAAGCGGCTCTAAATACTGAGGACAAGCGGCTCTAAATACTGAGGACAAGAGGCTCTAAATACTGAGGACAAGCGGCTCTAAATACTGAGGACAAGAGGCTCCAAACACTGAGGACAAGCGGCTCTAAATACTGAGGACAAGTGGCTCTAAATACTGAGGACAAGTGGCTCTAAATACTGAGGACAAGAGGCTCTAAATACTGAGGAAAAGTGGCTCCAAACACTGAGGACAAGAGGCTCTAAATACTGAGGACAAGCGGCTCTAAATACTGAGGACAAGATGCTCCAAATACTGAGGACAAGCGGCTCTAAATACTGAGGACAAGAGGCTCTAAATACTGAGGACAAGATGCTCTAAATACTGAGGACAAGAGGCTCTAAATACTGAGGACAAGCGGCTCTAAATATTGAGGACAAGTGGCTCCAAATACTGAGGACAAGCGGCTCTAAATACTGAGGACAAGATGCTCTAAATACTGAGGACAAGAGGCTCTAAATACTGAGGACAAGTGGCTCCAAATACTGAGGACAAGCGGCTCTAAACACTGAGGACAAGCGGCTCTAAACACTGAGGACAAGCGGCTCTAAATACTGAGGACAAGCGGCTCTAAACACTGAGGACAAGCGGCTCTAAATACTGAGGACAAGCGGCTCTAAATACTGAGGACAAGCGGCTCTAAATACTGAGGACGAGAGGCTCTAAATACTGAGGACGAGCGGCTCTAAATACTGAGGACAAGCGGCTCTAAATACTGAGGACAAGCGGCTCTAAATACTGAGGACAAGCGGCTCTAAATACTGAGGACAAGCGGCTCTAAATATTGAGGACAAGTGGCTCTAAATGCTGAGAACAAGATAGTCCAAATACTGAGGACAAGCGGCTCCAAATACTGAGGACAAGCGGCTCTAAATACTGAGGACAAGAGGCTCTAAATACTGAGGACAAGAGGCTCTAAATACTGAGGACAAGAGGCTCTAAATACTGAGGACAAGAGGCTCTAAATACTGAGGACACGCGGCTCTAAATACTGAGGACAAGCGGCTCTAAATACTGAGGACAAGTGGCTCCAAATACTGAGGACAAGAGGCTCTAAATACTGAGGACAAGATGCTCTAAACACTGAGGACAAGCGGCTCTAAATACTGAGGACAAGAGGCTCTAAATACTGAGGACAAGATGCTCTAAACACTGAGGACAAGCGGCTCTAAATACTGAGGACAAGAGGCTCTAAATACTGAGGACAAGATGCTCTAAACACTGAGGACAAGCGGCTCTAAATACTGAGGACAAGAGGCTCCAAATACTGAGGACAAGAGGCTCTAAACACTGAGGACAAGAGGCTCTAAATACTGAGGACAAGAGGCTCTAAATACTGAGGACAAGAGGCTCTAAACACTGAGGACAAGAGGCTCTAAATACTGAGAACAAGAGGCTCTAAATACTGAGGACAAGAGGCTCTAAACACTGAGGACAAGAGGCTCTAAATACTGAGGACAAGAGGCTCTAAATACTGAGGACAAGCGGCTCTAAATACTGAGGACAAGAGGCTCTAAATACTGAGAACAAGAGGCTCTAAATACTGAGAACAAGAGGCTCTAAACACTGAGGACAAGAGGCTCTAAATACTGAGGACAAGAGGCTCTAAACACTGAGGACAAGAGGCTCTAAATACTGAGAACAAGAGGCTCTAAATACTGAGGACAAGCGGCTCTAAATACTGAGGACAAGTGGCTCCAAATACTGAGGACAAGATGCTCTAAACACTGAGGACAAGAGGCTCTAAACACTGAGGACAAGCGGCTCTAAATACTGAGGACAAGATGCTCTAAATACTGAGGACAAGCGGCTCTAAATACTGAGGACAAGCGGCTCTAAATACTGAGGACAAGCGGCTCTAAATACTGAGGACAAGAGGCTCTAAATACTGAGGACAAGAGGCTCTAAATACTGAGGACAAGAGGCTCTAAACACTGAGGACAAGAGGCTCTAAATACTGAGGACAAGAGGCTCTAAACACTGAGGACAAGAGGCTCTAAATACTGAGGACACGCGGCTCTAAATACTGAGGACAAGCGGATCTAAACACTGAAGACAAGCGGCTCTAAATACTGAGGACAAGCGGCTCTAAACACTGAGGACAAGAGGCTCTAAATACTGAGGACAAGAGGCTCTAAATACTGAGGACAAGCGGCTCTAAATACTGAGGACAAGATGCTCTAAATACTGAGGACAAGAGGCTCTAAACACTGAGGACAAGAGGCTCTAAATACTGAGGACAAGAGGCTCTAAATACTGAGGACAAGATGCTCTAAATACTGAGGACAAGATGCTCTAAACACTGAGGACAAGCGGCTCTAAATACTGAGGACAAGAGGCTCTAAATACTGAGGACAAGCGGCTCTAAATACTGAGGACAAGAGGCTCTAAATACTGAGGACAAGAGGCTCTAAATACTGAGGACAAGCGGCTCTAAATACTGAGGACAAGAGGCTCTAAACACTGAGGACAAGCGGCTCTAAATACTGAGGACAAGCGGCTCTAAATACTGAGGACAAGCGGCTCTAAATACTGAGGACAAGAGGCTCTAAATACTGAGGACAAGAGGCTCTAAATACTGAGGACAAGAGGCTCTAAATACTGAGGACAAGCGGCTCTAAATACTGAGGACAAGTGGCTCTAAATACTGAGGACAAGAGGCTCTAAATACTGAGGACAAGCGGCTCTAAATACTGAGGACAAGCGGCTCTAAATACTGAGGATAAGAGGCTCCAAATACTGAGGACACGCGGCTCTAAATACTGAGGACAAGAGGCTCTAAACACTGAGGACAAGCGGCTCTAAATACTGAGGACAAGCGGCTCTAAATACTGAGGACACGCAGCTCTAAATACTGAGGACAAGCGGCTCTAAATACTGAGGACAAGTGGCTCCAAATACTGAGGACAAGATGCTCTAAACACTGAGGACAAGAGGCTCTAAACACTGAGGACAAGCGGCTCTAAATACTGAGGACAAGATGCTCTAAATACTGAGGACAAGCGGCTCTAAATACTGAGGACAAGCGGCTCTAAATACTGAGGACAAGCGGCTCTAAATACTGAGGACAAGAGGCTCTAAATACTGAGGACAAGAGGCTCTAAACACTGAGGACAAGAGGCTCTAAATACTGAGGACAAGAGGCTCTAAACACTGAGGACAAGAGGCTCTAAATACTGAGGACAAGAGGCTCTAAACACTGAGGACAAGAGGCTCTAAATACTGAGGACACGCGGCTCTAAATACTGAGGACAAGTGGCTCCAAATACTGAGGACAAGAGGCTCT